CGACCCCGACCCCCCCCCCCCCCCCCCCCCAAACCGGGCACTTGGCCCGTGATCCAATCAACACCAAACCTGCTCCATTCGACTGCAAATTTCTACATCTATTCAAGCTACCTCGATGCAAGATACAGCTGATTCCTGATCAGAATTTTCCGCTCTTTCAGATGCTGTATCCGCTATCTCCTCAACGTTACCCCTTGCCTCTGCAATGCAACGGATATCCACAAAGGTCTTATTGGAAGGGCACCTCGTGATCGCACAGGAACTGGCGCCCAACGTCAGGAGAACTTTGGTCCGGAAGAATTCACGCTCTAGATCCGGGCTCCATACTGGAGCCGGACGGACAAACACACCGGACCGTGCACGTGGCAGTGTTTTCTGACAACTACAGCTGTCACGATCAGGGCGAGAAGGCTTCGCAGCCAGGTTCAATTAATGCTATCAAAGAAAGACTCTTCTATAGGGAGGGAAAAGGGAAAGAGGCGCGGAGCGCCGGACACGCGATGCGGAAGAAAAGGCGGTGCGGCGTCTTGTCACACGGGCTGTTCCGCCGCACATGCTCACGTGGATACCTGCGCTGTGCGGTAAACTGCCCTGGGCCGTCACAGCAGCTAGCTTGAACCCTTTTACACCGACCAGTAAACGCTGCATATAATATTGCCGAAATACCGTGAACTTCCGAGGTTTTGTTTCCTTATGGATCTCTTTAAGGTTATTTACAATTATTGGCATTTTCCAAAATGTTTAAAGGCATTTGTAATCATTGAGAATAAAGTTTTTAATTGTTAATGATAAAGCTTTCAATCGTCGATGATAAAGTTTTTAGGATCATACCTACGGTCTGGTAAAACTGTATACCTCATGTGGTTATAAAGCCTTTGTAGGCTCTGAATTTGTAGTGCCTTAATTTCTTCTTTTTTTAAAGCCAAGTTGTGGGATGAGGACTCCTCGCACGGGCTGTAAATTATTGCCTCTTGCTATGCATTTATTAGCGGGTTTCCTTATGACATGTAGGCAGCACTTACCTGAAGTCTCTCAATTAGTAACTTAAGGGAAGGCCATTGGCCCATTAACAAAATTTCATCTTCACACTGTTTAAGTTTATCGTTTGAATTTATATGCTGTAAAAGTTTTATGCAAAGATCTTTCAAGGCGGGTAATGTCGACGTTAATTCGCTACTTTCATCCCGCTTTATACAATATATTGGACTGGCTGTCTAGGGTGTTAAAAGCTTGAGACTTATAAAATGATAGAAAAAAGGTAGCAAGCTTACAAAACTTTACCAAGCAATCCTTGGTAAATATTACATTATTAGAGTTGATAGCTGTGAACTCAAATCCGAGCTCGTGCAATGTTTCTACGATAATTGCCACCTACACGGGGTTAGTTACAGTACAGTACTTTAAGAGCAAACTTCCTTACCTGCTTTAGTATGTATACCACAGCCTCCGGCGCGGGTTTTATAGGACAGGCAAGTATAGACTCTATCGTATAATCTTCGGGTTCTTCGATGATAAAAGTACGACCAGTACGACCAGTACAACCAGGGTCGCGATATATCTCTTTAATAGTAACGAATAACTTTTTGGGAATTGTTTTGCAATAATCTTCAAATGTACCAATATCATTTTTACATGTTCGTATTTGCACGGTACCACGTGTCCCCCTTTTCCCTGCTATTATTAAAGTACTCCGCTCGTCAATGTTTAGGCGTTCTATATGTTGTGTATATATATCCCACGGGGTGCCTTGCTTCACCTGGGGCCAATGGCTTGGCTCGTATAGCTCCTTTAACGCTGAGGAGGGCTGTGGTATAGATTTTGAAATTTTATAACGTCGTGCTGGCAGGCGCAATGGGGCAGTTGGTGGGGGACTATAGAATATTCTCGTCCCCGGCCGATCTCTCGGTAAACGTTCCATTTTTAACTACAATTTTAGTTGCAATGATAACGCATAATTAAAACTCCCATTTCTTTGAAAGTGGAAACGTTTCTATCGTTTAAGTATTAGTAGCACTTTGACAATATATTACTGGAAATATAATGTCGTGCATAATGATTAACATTCAAATTTTAGCATTTAAACAAGCTGGTCGGAGTTTACGGCTTAAGTGTCCCACGGCATAATCTCGACCCACTTTGCGGTGGTTAGTAAAGCGTATTGTATCCTTTCTGTCATAACTCCATCCTAATCACATGCTCCTTTCAGCTAAATTGGCTTTTTAGAAGTTGAGGGCCTCCTACCCGTTCTTTATGCTTGGTTTTACGTGTGCTATTCACTAAGTAACTTTACTCGCTCACAATAAAACATTCCACGCTTAGCAGATTTCAGCTTAGCGTCATCATGAAAAAACAGCTTTATATAACGTGGTTCACAATCGAGTCGGTCAATTTTGGTTGCGAGGCGTCGCGTCAACTTTCCAACCACATATCCTAACACATACAAAATGAATCCGTTACCTAAGGAATTCAAAGTGATGCTTGCCTTGGAGGTAATCAAAAATGATCCGAAAATTAGCATACGTGCTGCAGCAAAACTCTACAATATTCCCTATTTTACATTGAACGACCGATACCGCAGCAGCCCTGCTCGATGCGACACCATACCTAATTCCCGGAAATTGACGGAATCCAAAAAGGAAGCGATTGTTAAATACATACTCGAGCTGGATTCTCGCGCATTCCCTCCCCGGTCTTCTTGTGGGTAGGCCTCGATCTCGAAATCTAACAAGCAAATGAACAAAGAAGCAAACAAACAATACGGGGAAAAGGAGGGCGTATTCTATCATGTCTTAGTGTGTAGTTTTCCCCCGTAGGGGGCAACTGAGAGGTTGTCCTTTTAACTGCGCCAGAGAGCTTAGTCGGCGGAGGTGTCAGAAAACACTGTCTCTAGTCATCCATCTGTGTGAAAAATGCGCTTTTTCTATTTCTTCTTCTTTCGAAGGGGATCACGGTTCTCGTAGATATACAGAGAGCATATGGTCTATGCACGGGCTCCGCCCGTGCTCGTGTCCAACTAGAATCTTCTACATCCTGTCCACGCTACCATCGAGCACCCTCGTATCTGACACGTCGATATCCGCCGCGTTGCAGATAGAAGGGGTGCAGTTAAGGAGACTAGCGATATTGCATCAGAAAGAGCAGAAGAATCTGATCAGGAATCGGTCCTTTCATGCATTCTAATTAGTTAAGAAAACTGCAGTTGAATACGTTAGGTTTGATCGCGGTCCGATTCATTTTGGTGGCCCGACTGTGGGTGTTGAAAGGGCACCTCGTGATCGCACAGGGACTGGCATCCAAGGTCAGGAGAACTTTGGTCCGGAAGAATTCATGCTCTGGATCCGGGCCCCATCCTGGAGCCGGACGGACAAACACACCGGACCGTGCACGTGGCCTCCGCACTCGGGGCGCGGAGCGCCCGCGTTCTGTTCTGCTCCCTCTACAAAAAGGGAGCAGAGAGTCGTTGTACGACTCTCTCTTGTACTTAGGAAACAGGACAACTTCTAGATTTTATGCAATGCAACTAGAAGACTTTCCTACCCAACCTTAACAGGCTGTCCACGAACAGTGGGGGTGACCCGACAGGGGGTGCTTTGACTTATATGAGGAAACACAGTTGGCTGTTCCTCACCCGCAATAAATCAAGCCTGTATCCCAGCGTGCTTGGGGCCCTGTATAGCGCTAATTTAGTGCATTGCAGGGCCCAATCCAACCGACGTGTCAGATACGAAGGACTCGATGGTACTGTGTAGAAGGATCTAGAAGATTCTAGGTGGAGCATGAACTTGGGCACCACCGGTGCACTGACCACATACTTTGTGTATATCACCGAGAACGATCATCCTCTTCGAAGGACAGAGGACAGAGAAAAAGGACAATGCATACTTCCCATTTATTGATGACTAGAGACAGTGTTGTCTGATAGAACGTGTGCCCTGCCGTCCCTGCGATTAGCGCATGCATCCCACTATGACTTTGTCAATTCAACAAGTTTACATTTGAGTTACGATTTAAATCAAATTTAAAATAAAGTTTAAACAAAGTCCCAGCCTGTCGGTAAGTTGTGTCCCGGAAGCTTTACAAGTGTTCCTGTGACGTGTTCGTCTATTAGAGAGTTTACAACACACCGGTGATTATCATTATTTACAGCCACTCCAGGACATGTTTCCATTCCAAAGTGTTTAGAGCTCGTTACATTAAAAGTGTCAATTATGTGTTGCAACGCTTGTTCGTCCCAGCCGGCCAAAAAGTCACCATGAATTGAATAACCGGTTTTATCGCCGTTAGAAAGGATAAAAGGTTGATAACCCTGATGAGGCTTCCACCGATGTGAAAATTTCGTCGTATCCCAGTATACTTCGTATAAAAGATGAGGAACATGGATCCAGTTTTTAAGACAGTTTTGTTTACCATTTTGGTATGTAACTGGAAATGCCATATTATTTTTGTAATCAGTTAATGGAACAGCTGGATTGTAGCACGAAGGGAAATGAATATCCATGCGAAGGGGTGAAGCAAAAAGATCACAGTTCGCAAAGGGAAAACCGATTCCAGCTTCCCTCACGTCAGGATTTTGAATTCCAGCAGTCGACCCATTCGAATTAGCCGGGTAGCTTGGCGGACTATAATGAATGCGGGGACATGTCCACTGGCTTGGTTGAACTATTCCATCTAATGGGTTAAGATTGAGTTTGCCGGTTTTACTTGGAGCATGCCTTATTGACGCATCTCCGCTAACGATCTGCAAGCTGACCGGAAACGCAGTAATTTTGTCATCGGTAGGCTCAAAACTGGAATATGTTAGAAAAGTAACATAATTTCAATTTTTAATAGCGTATTCTTACAAATAGTACACATTCATATAAGACAAGTTTACAGACTCAAAAAGGTCTGTTTTTGGGTCTTTGAAATACAACTTGGGAAACCAATAGGCACTAAGGTCATCTTTTATAAGCGCTGTTGTGCATGATGATCTTAACAAACTATCACCCGTAGCATTGAGCCCAAAGTTACTTGCACCCATTATCGTGTGGACATGTTCCGAGGGCACGCCAGGGCTTACGATGGGATCAATTCGAGCTTCACCAAGGGGGCCCCCAGCACTGTGACGTAAGATTGCGAAAGTGCGACGATCTTTCGCGAATGCCAAGGAATATAGCACGGGAAGTAATATAAATATCATTTTTCAACTCGAGATGAAACGTGAGGATTTCTACCTAGGGAGCTAGTTGATTGAGTGAATAACAAATTGGGGATTTTTATGCTACAATTTCGGTTACAAATTGCTACTGGCGTGCCGAACAATGCGATGTTCAGCTTTTATATTAGTAATGTTCACGAATGGCTTTTACTCACATCAGAATTATAGCCGTTAGCGCTGGTATTTCAGGAAATATAATGAGCCATAGAAGTTATTCACAATAATATAATTACGGGCGAGACTTCTACGCAAATGATATATATGATTAAGTACTGTCTGAGATTTTTTATTATCTTGAAAATGAACTACAAAGCTAAACATAAAAGGATTGTATTTCTTCGCCACAGCGATAGTAATGTACTATGTAATGAAATAAAACCCTGCAAACAACGGTTTTTATCATTTGACCTAAAACCTAGTAAACTTAAAACGTCATCGAATCGTCTTTCGGTACTTTCGATAAATGCGGATGGTGATAGGAAAGGAGAGCTATCCTGAATTGCCTGGCCTTTTAACGTATTATTCACTGCTCTAATTTGATTACCAAGTGTTCAAACTTCGCACCCTTGACAGGCTGTCTTGACAGCTGTATTGGAACGAGCAATTGGGCCTTTAAACCGGTACGCTATTTGCAATGGAGCTAGTATCCTTCCCGCAATATCTAATTCTGGTGCTTAAATCTAAATATATTATTTACTTTATAGACCGGCACAACCTTGCTGGCCGTGTGTCCGTTATTCCTTCCATGGTTCTAAATCGCCACTGACGTGCTTTAGCAGCGAGTTGGAATACCCGTTTTCGGCCTCCGGACAATCAACTCGACTTTCACCCCAAATCGTAACAAAATCCTTCAAACCTATTCGGATCTATATACACTAGACATTTCTGCGTCTTCCTTACAAGTGCGTGCATTGTGTCCGGTCTGCCGCAGCTGGCGCATTGCCGTCAAAGTTGCAGGCGCACTCCCTTCCTGATGACAATCGTCGCGTGTTTCTTGCCGTAGCGATCTCCTAATCCAGAGTTCCTTATGCGTCTTATATACGAAGTGATCTTTCTTGCCCAATCCGTATCTTCTGGCCCTGCGTCCCTCGTTCATAAACTGGGGGCTGGGTGCAGTTGGGGAGCTGTGGTGTGGTTTTCCTGTGTCGACTTTTTGCGGGCCCGAGTTTCTGGTTGGCGACCAGCGGCCCAGAGCTGCAGCGCCACATGGGCCACATTGATCACCAGGGATGTCAGCCACAAATTAAAACCCCATTTCCATTGCGGACCTGCCAAATGCACAAACCCTGCACGAGGATTCGTGTCAACGCATGACAAATTCATCCTGTGTCTTGGCAAAGAGCGCGCTAGCTACAAATTATGCACCTCATATGCAACCAAAGCTGCCCTACGTCGCGCCGGATTGACGTCAGGCGGATCCGGCGATGGCAACTAACCATGCTTTTATCAAGCGCTCCTCTCTCGATAAAGATTTACAGATGCCTCAGCAAACGGGAACACAGCTGCGTTAGATCATGGCATCGCTCTCAATGCCTTCCACCCACATTTCAGGCCAGGAACCGGGCCGATGGGCCCGGCGGGCGCGCAGACACGGGAGACCCGCAAGTACCACCAGTACACATAATCATTGTAGTCGAGGACGGTCGTAGCTTTTACCGTTGAGACGCTCTCGAGGTGCTTCTGTCGCAAGGCAGGCGCACACGGTAAAAGCGGAGTGAGACCTGCCGCGACTCGAGGCACACGCGGAGCAGTACGGTGTGGTTGGCTTTTGGGCGGAAGCTGAATTGCTGGGGGCGGAGGCGATGGAGATTCGCCAGGCAAGCTCGGGGTCGACCATGCCAACGGTTGATAGCTGCAGGCCAAGGATGTGTCTGGCGGTGTGAGCGGACAGGAGTTTCGGAGCCCACTATTGGACAGCCAAGCTAGTGAGCGCCACCGCGAAACGCGCTAAAACCCCACAATCAGGCATCCGGAGTGGCAACACAAGGCGCGGAACCAACCACGGTCCTGCCAAGCGGCTTGTACTTGTTCCCCGAATACGCTCGGCCCAATTCCCAGTGGATCGTGCCGGCCACCCAGGTCTAAATTACCAGGTTCCAGTCGCCACTGACAGGCTGACAAATCGGAAGATGCAGCCCACGTCGCTAAGGGAGCTAGTGACGCCACTTCCAGGGTTTTGGTAGGAAATGATTGGTAGCGTTGCACATGGTGTCCATCTGAATTGAGCCAGTCTCCTCATGTCTCCCCGTCTGCAACCTTCCCTTGAAAAAATCCTCCTGTCGGACCCGCTGTTAGGGTGCCGCTAAGGTACACGGCCATTTTTGGTACTGGTCCCACCAAAATGAGCCGCGTGTGTTATGTGGGCGCTAACAAGCCATTTGGCTTTGTTTTGCCCGCGTTCGCCGGCGTCCTTTCAACAACGACGACGACGACGCAACTGGGCTAGAGGTGCAGAAAGGGCTCGCAAAGGTTTCGGGGTGCCTATTGCCAGCTGGGAAGGTCCTGCACCCCTCGCAGCCCAGGGCGCGCCTCGCGCGCGCCGAAACCTTCGACAATTGGATTGCTCCAACCTCCTCGCATCACCAGGTTAACCGCCCTTTGACTTCCTTTCGTTTTCGCCTCGCGGATACCCGACACGCGCCGAAACGACTCGAACGCACAAGAAGACTGCTGGCCGGCAAGCAGTTAGCTACCTTGGACGAAAAGCCGGCCCGGCCGCCGCCGTCCCCCGCCAAACAAGGCCGCCGTTTCCCCTCCCCTTCCCTTTCCCACACCACACCACCACCACCACCATTACTAGCACCACGGCACCGGCCTCCGCCAACTACGGCCGCCGTTATTTCACGGCACCAGCCGTCGCCTTTCCCGCTATACTCGCGGCTCCTCCTTAGCTCGCATCCAACATCCGACGATACGTATGGCGCAAGATTGGCCCGCCCAGCACGCATTACCTGCTGAACACGCACGCCCAAGATTTGCTTTGACGGCACGCGCCTCTGTTTGTTGCCACGCCGGGCTATACTGAAGTATAGGTGGCATCGCACGCGCAAGGTCTTGTCGCGGCTCTGTTTGCCAGCGTGACCGTAACGGCCTCCGGGACCCGCACCACGTTGGCAAACCGCGCAGCCTATCGCTCGACACGCGACACACAAGGAGCACACCGGGTTGGAACTAGGCCCTCCAGCCCCCGACTTTTCTTTCTTTGGCCGGGTCCAAATGGGGGGACATTGCGACCCTCCGCCCGGCCCTCACTTTACTCCGGCATATTGCCGGCCGACTGCTTTCTCTACCACCAACAGCTGCGCCTATGGCGCCCCGGCGACATTCGCCCTTTTTGCCGATTGCCCGCTCACCAACAAGGAGCGCCGGAATGCGGCCCGAACTTCGTGTGCCTTGGGCTTGCCCCTTGGTTTGTCTTTGTTAGCCGCCTCGATAGCAACATGTAGCCTAGTGTCAAGCTTAGGTAGCGCTAGCACGTCATATGCCCCCTGGGAGGCAGGGACTGGTAGATCCCGACTAGATGACGTTAAATATACTCTCTCTCTCTCTCTCTCTCTCTCTCCTCCC